CTTTAATTAAACTAGTCAATTTGGCCATCTTTCTATATTGTATTTAAGATATTGTTCCACTGCTTCATTGTCATTTATGACCTCCAAGTTCACAAGAAGTTCTAAAGCAACTGAAACATTCAAGTCCGACTCTCGGAAACAGCATTAGAGGATATGAAGTCAACCAACACAGGAAGCTGCCTTACACTGAATTAGAGGACTATCAGTCCATTGATGGGGAGGAGGAATCTTTCTGAGACAGCAAAGCAGGCATTGTGCAACGAAAATGGGCGTTTTCAAGGCCAATCTGATACAAAAACGGCTTTCATACTGTATATAAGCCCAAGCAAGCCAACTGATGCAATGAAATAAAATCCTGAGGCACAATAGCATTTGCAAATGGGACTGCACTGGTCCTGCAAGAAAGAACCTTCTTACTCTTAAAACTGATCTTTGAAAAGTCAGTCAAAGATAGTAGAAAACATTTAAGCTACTATGGAGCAGTTCGTGTAATATCAAATCAATCGCAAAGCTTCTTAAGTGGGAGACACAGATCACAGAGAAATGTTTCTGTAGCTTAAGGTTAAGCTACATGTGCTTAAGGTTAATGGAATTTGATCTTTTGGATCACTACCACGGCTAGCCAGCGTCATTTAGGTAAATCTTGGATGGTATGAACAGGTAGACTAACCGCTTAGCTAAATCAGGAAGTGAAATGATCCCAAAGCACTAGAAACTAATACACCCTGGAAAACTGCCTAACTCTTGACAATTAACTTTTATGGGCTTATGTATTGGAGCCAAAAAAAATCAACATGAGAATCCTCATTAGCATTGCATTTAATAGTTATGGATATCAATGAATAGTGCAAGACATGTACACTATTTTAAAACAGATGTCAGCAGCACATGTGTTCTTAATCAAATTAAATCCTATCTCGGAGGGATAAAAATCGGAAAATTGATAACTTGTCTTTCATGTTGTCAAATCTCATAGAACGGAGGATTGCATCATAGGAAACTTATTCTGGTGGGAAAGAAGGAAAGGATCTGTTTGAGAAATGCGCACAACAATAGAGTGAAATAGAGTAATGTGATTATTTCCATAGGACACTTTTTTTCTTAAATACTGTGACCAATGACTTGTCATGGTGATTTTGAACATCACCCGGACTCAATAGAGCTTTGTTTCAAACAACAACATGTTGCAAATAGATACTTTTGGATGACTAAGTGGAAACATACGCATACTCTTAAACAGTGACTGTGGGCAGGGTACATAGTAGTAATCAAGAATGTATAAAAAGGTCTCAGGGACCACCAGGAGTCCTTAGAGTAGACCATACTTTGACAATCACTGACCTAGATCATCCAAGCAGAAGAAATTGTGTGGCGTTCTATCCGTTTTTGTTGGAATAGTACTACTATTGCTGCTGTAGTTGTTGTTATTGTTGTTGTTGTTGTTGTTATTGATCATCGCACAGTCAGCCAGATGTTCAGACTGGATTTGGCATTTTTGTCTACCTATCGAGTCCTTACCAAGGACCTGGGATAGGCAGATGTGGATGTTTGATGGTATTACAGATATCGTCGCAGGATGGAAGCAGTTCCTAGTAAGGCTGCCTTTTGCAATTGACTAATGGCGAATTTGTCAATGCCAATGGTGTTCAAGTGGTGCTCCAGTTGTTTTGGGATTGCACCCAAGGCGCCTATTACAATTGGTACTACCCTTGCTTGCTTTGCCACAGTCTTTCTATTTCTATTTGTAGGTCTTTGTATTTTGTTATTTTCTCCAATTCTTTCTTGTCTATTCTGCTGTCTCCAGGCACTTCCATGTCCACTACCCAGACTTTTTTGTCTTTCTTATCGACAATTAAGTCCGGGGTTTGTTTTTGTTTACTACTACTACTACTACTACTACTACTACTACTACTACTACTACTACTACTATTATTATTATTATTATTATTATTATTATTATTATTATTATTATTTTAGTTGTAAAACCAGGCAATGTACAAGGCA